TTATAATTTCTGCATGCCATCTTACCAGATTTAAATTGATGATCTATAATCTGGAAAAATCCCTAATCCGGAATCGCCGAAGTCCCGATGAGTCCGGATTAGAGACTTTGTACTGCATAAGTTTACAGACTGAAATTGTAAAAAATATCAGATTTCATAATTTTTATAAATTCACTTTTATAAGTGGAAGTATATGTCTACAACTAACAGTAATGAAAATAATTGTAGCATAAAGACTTTTATGGATACATTATATAGTATTTGATTTCTTTAAATGAAAGTGACAAAGTAGATGTTATTTTTTCTGGGTAATATAAAACTGAAACTAATCATTATTGACGCTATGCCATCTTGAAACAAGTAAATGTATGATATGAATGAGAAATGCCTCTAGAAAATCTAATTCACCAATGGAAGATGTTTTTTAAATAATTTTGGCTGCAGAAAAATGGAAAGTGTAATTTTTGGACCAACAGTGTTGGGCAACAGAGGACTTCTGTGTTTCCTTTTTTCTAACATACGCTTTGATCCCAAATCTATGAGGATGATGGTTCGGTAAAACTATCCAAACTAGCACTGTGAAAATTTGCAAATATAACGCTAATTTTTGTTGACTTCCAAATTAATATTTGTTCAGCGTGTTATTTTGACCTAAATTAACAACTACATTCTACAAATCCTGGCTGACTTCTAATAACATCGATAGAAACATGTATTTGAAGCAAATGGTGAAGAAATTTAAACATCATTTTGCTTTTTCATCCCTTATACGACTATTAACAAAGGTATAAATATTCTGTAGTTTTCATGCACAATATTTAGTGAACACATGCACATGTGTGAAATGACATGGTTCATACAAATTCCAATCTGCACACACTAACTTTTCTAGCTACTCAAATCAGGATAAAATATTTAACCTTGATATTAAGGGATGCATATTTATAATTTCTGTAGGTACAGAATGCATTTCAAACAATAATTCATGCCATATCTACAGCATGCAATATTATTATACAGTCAAAAGTCGTTAATCCGGACTCGTCGGGACTTCGGCGATTCCGGATTATCGATTTTTCCGGATTATAGATCATCAGTTTAAATCTGGTAAAATGGCATGCAGAAATTATAAATGTAAAAATATGAAACCGTAATTTACGAAATAAAGAACAATTATGATCTAAAGGGTATCAAAATTTGACAAAAGAAAAGCTTAATATTTATTGTTTACTTTATTAAACATTTCTTTCAATGTAAGTTGTTTCAGTTGCTTCATTTTTTATGTGATAATACATTCTCTTTAATTCTATAAACAGACATAATTTCTTGTTCAGTTACAAAGGTCCGCTGTTCAAGTCCTATAATTGCTGTGTCGAGAATACCGACTAATTTGTCAATCGAAATTTATTCATTTTCAATAAACTCTGTCACTTTCTTCGCCATCGGAAGCGAATTATAATGACGAGGCATTTGATTTAAATCATATCAAAGACGGAGTACATTGAGATGAAATACTACATTGAGTAAGCAATTATAAGCCAAATAAAATAAAAACATCTGCCCTCAAGATAAGGATAGTGCTGATAAATCAACTTCCAATTCATTGCACGCCGCCGCCGCGTTAAAGATAAACAAAGTTTAGATAAACAAACGTTTAAGTTTAGATAAACAAAGAATATGCCTTTATCCATTTTTTGCAGCAATTCCATTTTTTGTTTAATGGACTCCGAAAGATACTTTCGCTTTGTATATCCTTTACATATTAGTAAATATATATCGGAAATTCTATTTGACATAATCGAAAGTTCAAGCTTACTTTTATAAAATTGCTCTAACAGTCTGCAAAAAATAATAATCCGGATCCAATTCGAAGATTAAGGAACAACGCAATCTGCAACATTAACTGAAATAGATAATTAGATAATTTTAGCTTAGCTTATCCCGTCCGTTATACATTAAACGTGCATTCGTAAACGTATTTTGCGCACGTGCTCACGCAAATTAGCAGCGGTAAAGGTCTTACGCGCATGCGTCAACGCGACGCATGCGCAGAAAGTTTGTAGCTTTGAGGTCCGGATTATAGATCATTCCGGATTATGGGTGTCCGAATTAACGACTTTTGACTGTACTATATTATTATTATACTTTCAGCAAGAACTGACTATACTATATTATTTTGACTTTTGACTGTACTATATTATTATTACTACAGCAAGAACTATTTATTTTCAAAACTACAATATGCAAAAATAACACAGCAGTGGGAATGCATAATAACTGGCCATCAAGAGCAAATTTAAATCAAAGAAATCATTTTATGGAAACTCTCCCCCTACTTTTAAAGTGAAACCTTTTGCTTTGTCAATGCTAATGATGAAAATATGTGAACAACAAAACTCCAAAGTTGTAAATTACCCGTATGACAAATATTCAAATAAAGTAACTAAAGTGGATAGCTATACTTTTGCTTGGGTCTGGGTCATAATCCCGAAGGCCGAAATCCCGACAAGCCAGAATCCCGACAGTCCAAAACCCCCGACAGGGCCGAAATCCCGACAACCCAAAGTCCCGACATGGTCGAAATCCTGACAGGGTCAGAATCCCGAGTGTCCAAAATCCCGACAAGTTAATATCTAAATACGAACATTCAATTTAGCTTAATAAAATACAATTTTTAACTAACTATTACATATTACTAATTAAAAGTTTAAATCAAAAAATCATGAAAATTAAAAATTATGTCATTACTTAAAATAATTTTTAACAGATTGAAATGACCATTAAAATTTGAAATGAAGATTTATAAATTTCTTTTTATTCGAAAAAGAAAACATCACTTACACATGCAAACAACATATTTACAGTGACACATTGTGAGCGATACCACGAAGATATTCCATCACAGGTCGATTATCACGATCGTCCACAACAGTCATAATTCTCCTTTCTCTCTCATCATCTACCTTTCTACATTTTGGTTGTTGTTCTTCGTGAAGAATGCATTCAACTTGGTATTCCACATGCTCCTGTTCTTTTTGAAATCCTTCTATGATGTTATAAACGCCAACATAGGCCCATCCAATTAAGATCTCCCATCTTCTGTGCTAAGCCTCGACAGCATTTTGAGTGCGCAGAGCTCTCAGTTGTAGGGAATCAAACACGCTCCAGAGTACTGGTGGGAACATCAGAGGAACGCGAACGGCAATGCCATTACGCAAATGGCGCCGTATTCTTCCACGAACGTAGTTATCTTTGAACCACTGAACGACTTCTTGAGCATCGGGTGGCAAGTGAGGAAGTAAAGTGTCAAATGCTGCTGAAATTTCATCAGCTGGTATAAACGCTAACGCAAATAAATGACGAAGCATTAAATTAAATCTTTCATCTGTGCTGTAGCGAGAAGCCAATCCACCCGATTGGATTTTTCTCCAACCACACTGATACAGATGGAAAAAACAAGCCTTATTAATAACGTCAGGGAACTCTGATTTTGAAGCATTTATAGTTGCCTTTTCTAGATCACTAATGATTCTAGATGGCCTCAGTTCAATATTATTTTCTTCAGCGAAATCAATTAAATCTTGGAATAATCTTTTGTAATTTTCTTCAGATTTGTTAGTTATCAAAGCATATACTAGTGGAAGATTCTAAAATTTTGAGATCCAACAGGTGCGTGAATTGTATATAGCTGGTAAAATATTGTGGGCACCGTTTTAAATGCGCCATCCAACAGGTGCGTGAATTGTATATAGCTGGTAAAATATTGTGGGCACCGTTTTAAATGTGCCATCCATAATCCAATAAGGTGCCTGTGATAAATGTTTAACATTTGCAACTGTTGTAAACACTAGAATTCTCTCATCTCCAACTGCAGAATCTCTCACTAAAAATAATTCACCAGTTAAAGTATTTTTTAAAATAGCTGGAATATCAATTTCATTCATTGTTTTTGGTTCTGGTGGCCTTTCGTTTTGCCTGACCCATTTAATTTTTTTTCCGAATAGCTTCTTTTGATGGAAGGTATGGGAGAATGTTCTGAGAGGTTTTTACGATGTTGCTTTGAATTATCTGACACGGTTCACTTCCAGTATGCCGAGCATCTTCTTTCAATTGGCTAATACATTTTGCGATAGCAGCTGCACTTGCTTGTGGAGCATGGTTATGCTGAGTAAATTTACGGAGATGATGTTCTCCATTCAGAAAAATTGTTGTTACTCGACCTTTGCACATATCGTATTTTCTTTTTTCACAACACCAATAATATAAATCGTCGCGATTCTTATCTTTCACCATTAAATAACCACATGCATTAATTTTATTGCTTCCTTTTTGAGACGGAACAATTTCACAAATTTCAGCCATATTTTGGAACAGTTTAATGAGCAAAAAATAAACCGGCAAGTGAGCACTGTCTATCTCGAGGCGAACGTAACCCTATAGCATGTAGAGAGCCTAGAGCTGTATCATTCCGTCATTGTGAAATAGTTCCCTCTTTTTCCTATTCACATAGATTATTGTGAAATAGTTCCCTCTTCCTCCTATTCACATAGATTATAAAAGGCCTAAAAGATAAGAAATGACCTTCGCGTGAGGTCAGCCGCCACTTTGTCATTATGATGTCCTTCCGTAAGCAGCTGTGGAAGTATGTTAAAGGGTCATTAGGACTTATTGGGATTTCGCCCATGTCGGGATATTGGACAATCGGGATTTCGACCCTATCGGGATTTTGGCTTGTCGGGATTCCGTCTGTCTGGATTCTGGCTTGTCGGGATTTCGGCTGTCTGGATTATGTCCGGATACCACTTTTGCTTACTTTTTACATAAAAACAGCAGAATGCCTTTCTAATACAGTCTTTGGCATTTTCATATGAATAATTTCAATATTCATTCAACATTTACTCCAATTTTTTTTTTCATACATAATGTTATCCAATGGAAAAGAAACACAAATAATTGTATGATTTCTATTTAGGATGTTAGAACAATAGCAATGTACTTACGGTGACATGATCAAAAATACTATATTTCTGAATCATACCACTGGCTTCTACTGTTAAAGAAGAGTTTTTAATTGTAAGTTGACCTTCAAGCCATTCTACACCATCTTTCACAATTGCCACTTTTTTATCTTTATTGCAAAGAGAAACAGCGCCTTTAATGCCATACTTTGGGATGAATACTAGCATGCCATTTGTCAATAAAGAATAAATTACGGCATCTACAAGGCAAGGACTAGAATTTTGCCGAGAATAATCTTCAAAGAAGTAAGCCAAATAAATCTGTTGAGCAGCTTTTTCCAAGTCTTGAACAGCCTAAATAAAAGAATAGAAAATTATAAAATCAATGACTTATATAATTATTATGTTTAAACATATGGTTAATAATTATCAATACATTTAATTAAAATTAATTGAAATGGAAACATTTTGAAAAAGTATTAAACATAATGCCATAACTACTATGAAATAATGTCTTGTAATACTTAAATTATACAGGAAACTTACTTATTTTTTAGCTCATAATGTACAGTAAATTTAATTCCTCACATAAAAATGTAAATATAATGATGTTATATTACTTTAACCACTTGTGCTAAAAAGTGGAGCGGCGTAAATGAGACATTTTACCGCTTGTTATATTGTAGCGCACGGCACCGCAACCGTGAAGTTTAGTCGTAGCGCAAGTGGTTACTTTCATAAGTTATCAAGATAGTAAAATAAAAATTTTAATATTATAAATAGCAGTTCATATTTATAATTCAAACACATTTAAATTTTAAATAAGTATATTTTTTCTACAGTCATTTACTTATGAACTGAAATGATACTAGTTACAAATTTTCTACTGGTATATATAATTTCCTAATTAACAAAGAGCATCTGTAAATATTAATATTAAAAGGTGACATTTTAAGATGAATAAAAATTAATATTTAAATATACAAATGCATCTGAAAATATTTTTATAAATAATGCTATATATTTTTGTTATCTAACAGCAAATTTTACATATTATCATATTTATTTAGATATTCACCCCTTTCTTTATTAATTTTATTGCTAGAAAATCAAGATGGAAAAACTGCATGTGCATACCATTTCTGAAAAGAAGATTAAAGAAGAGCTTGACAGATACAAAAGCATACATTAAGGGATGTGCTATTATTGCTGTAATACACTTCAAAATAATTAATTATAATTATAGTCTTTAATATCATTATTTTTATTTCTTCATGATACACTGCTATTTATCCATACATCCATACTATATATTCATACTATAAAACAGAATTATCATGTTGAAAAATTAGGGCAGGGGATCTCACAAAGAAAAGGGAATCTAGTTCACTCCAAACTAGTAGACTGATATTATAGTAGAGTGTTCATGGCAATGATTGGTTGCAAAGAAACTGAATTAATATAATTTAAAAGGAACAAAAAAAAAAAAAAATTATAATGTAGGTTCTTAGAAGCACAGTAAAATGCAAAGTTATCTTACTCTATGCTTTATGTTCATATGATTGCATAAATCTGTCATTTCTCCGGCATCAAACTTAACATCTGCTTCAGATTTTTCAATTTCTGCTAGAAGCTGTCTATGAACCTGTAAAATTAAAAAAAAAAAAAAAAATATATATATTTAACTTTTTTTTTTAAATACTTTAGCAAAGTTTCTTATGCTTTTAACTGAAAATGAAAATAAAAGACCAGGAAAATAATTTTACTTGAATAGTATACCTTCAAATACATTGAAATTTCTATTTAAAGCTAACATGCACTCCCCCAAAAAACAAAATTAAAAAATGTTAAAAATGAATGCAACTCCTCACTGAAATATTCCAAAAAGTATTATACTGTATTTAATTTCAGATCAAACGCATTAATTTTTTATTTACTTGCATTTTTGAAATTCTGGTTATTTTAAAATTTAATAATTTAATAGCATCTAATAATTTTTTTATTAGTATTACACAGAAAAAAAAATTCAAAGTATTTCTGAATTTTTTTCACCTCAAAGGTGGCTTAATTGTTTTAAGACACACTTAGTGGTTAAAACCACTAAGCCATTGGTAGTTCAACATCCCAGTTTCAAGTCCGGACAGATAGGTTGGCTGTATCCTTGGTTTATCTTAATTTTTCCCATGTACAACATGAATACAAGCCAATTTCTCTTAGAAAGTTCTCCACAAAGGCAACCCTCTGTTTAGGAAGATATTCCTCATATGTTTTGCTATATTTCAGTAATCTAACCAAACCTTAATTATTTTTTGTTTCATAAGAATTTGAATAATTTGTTGTTAAGTAATGACAAATGCAGAATACAGAAAAGTGCATTTTCAGTTTTCAAGTTAAGAGCCCTTCAGGTGCCTTAAAAATGATAATTTTGACACTGATTGAAAATTGACAGAAACTTTTGATAATAGATAAGCAATATTTTTATTCAAAGTTTTAAAAAATATTAAAAAAAAAAAAAGAGAGGTAAGTCTTTTTTAATAAATAATTTCTAACACGATTTTTAATAAATAACAAAGCAGTCACATGAGAAATATTAAACATGTAACTTATTGCTTGATATCAAAATATCGCACTCCATTTATTAGAATTAATCATTTTTCAAACTAATAGCTGTTTGTAGGTTTAGAGATTGAAAAACAATCAAAGAATCTTCTACCCAATTTGTTTTTTTATTGTTGTCACTTATAAATTTAAATTCTCCTCAATATGCTACTGTCCTTAAAGAAATCTATGCTTTGTAACTGACCTCTAAAAATAATGGAATTAAATAATCTAAAACAACATTTTCTTAAACTTTATATTATACCTTTTTCCTACTCATCGTATATGTCTATCAAGCGAATGTCTGGAAATTATCATTTTTAACATTCAGACTAAATATCTCAATCGCATGGCCATCCCTAATTCTGAGAACTTTATTATTTCAGATTCTATCTCTCCTTTTATGAAATTAGAAGGGCTAGTTATTTTAAAACACCATTGAAATTTTTTTAATTTCTTATAAACCACCTAATTTATTTAAACTGAAATTTTTAAAACACATGAAAAATTAAGTATCTAAAAATGAACTGAATTAATTTCAAAGATTTCATTCGATTCTTTTCTAATCAACAGTAATTTTTTCTGATACCAAAGGTACCTCATATGAACCTTTTATGAATGCACTTTTTAATGTGAAAAAAAATTAATTTGATTGAAACAATTTCTGGTAAAAAAATAAATAATTTCCTTATCTATACTAATATAGGGTGTTTTAAAAAAGTGCATGATTTAAATCTCTTGAATGATTGGTTTTAGACTTAGGTTTCAATTTATGAAAAGAATGAAATAAGTGGTAGTTCAATTGGGTGAGGTGCAGAATCGCCCATATATTTGGCACATTTTGTTTGGCACTTTTTACAAAAGTAAGAAAAATTGGATTTTGGTCAATTTCTTTTGACTTTTAAAATGAAAATAGACCGATGTGTACATTGACAAAGGGAGTGCGCAATGCCGAGTTTGTGTAATTCTCTTTTTTTTTTTTAAAGTGAAAATAGGTCGATGTGTAAATGAAATAGGTAAGTGAAAATAGGATACCAAGTTTGTGCAATTCATAAAAACGCATCAAGCAGTCGGTGATTCTGCACTTTTCCCCAATAATTTAGATAATATGGCAATTTATATTAAGTTTCATAAGGGGGGAAGTATCAATATGAAAAGTATTTGAATTAATTAAAAATCATCTTTATGTGATCAAGATTACCTGACATACAGTGAGTGATCGGTTAACGAACAGTTCGGACTGCGAACAAATCAGACAACGAACGCCTTCACGAAAGACTTTTGTGTTCGGAGAACAAACACATATTCAGATAACAAACTAAAACGAATTCTAACGAACACTTCTCGGCTCCCGGATCATAATGTGCAGGGCTGCCAAACCCAACGGACCAAAAATCGTTTTTCATCTTTTGAATTATGTTGCTTGCCTATTAAAATTCAAAGTTCTATATTGAAAAGAAGATTTTTTCTAATAGAATATTTATAGCCAAAGTAGACCATCAGTTTCAGTTTTGATTTCATTCAAAACCGAAACTTATTTCATTTTGAGCATCTCTCCCTCCCCGTTCATTAACTGTCCCATATGTAGTCTTGAATGATGAATTCCAGACGACAGACTCCTTTCCTCTCATTGTGAAACAATAATCTTGTTTCCCTCCCAGTTGATGAAACTGGTTTGTTTTGGGAGCGCATACCGAACCATACCTACATCACGAAAGGTGAGAAAAGTGCTCTTAGACATAAATCCATGAAAGACCGATTGACGTTACTTTTGGGAGCTAATGCTTGTGGTCATATGAAACTTAAACTACTTTTCGTTTACCACTCTGAGAATCCTAGAGCATTAAAAAAATTCCATAATCAAGAGAAGACTGTCAGTAATATGCAGATCGAATCAGAGGGCATGGGTCACGCAGCCTCTTTTCAAAGAATAGCTGTTTGAAGTTTGTGACCCAAGTATCAAGGACTACCTATGACCTACCTATACCAATGACTTGCCATTGAAAGCACTGCTGCTAATGCACAATGCAGCAGGACACCCAAAGGACCTTGAAGACAATTTGCTGACAGACTTTCCCTGGTTGTCAGTTTAGTTTCTACCTCTGATTACAACTTTGCTGATTCAGCCGATGGATCAGAAGGTTATTTGCGGGTTTCAAGAAATTGTCACTCGTGCGCTGTTTCGTCAGTGTTTTGAAGCATGCCAATTCTCCTCAACAATGACTTTAAAAACGTTTTGGAAAGAAAAATTTGACATTCTTGAAACTATTCGTATCATTCAAACGGCGTGGTCAGAAGTCACGCAGCAACATTTTATTTCTGTTTGGTAAAAGCTGTATCCATCCTTTGTTCAAGGTGATGGAGGTGATCAGGAAGATACCCCTGAAATTATGGATGAAATTTTGACAACTGCTAGAGATTTGGAATTGGAGGTGAACAAGGATGACATAGAAGAGCTCAGAATGGAACATGAAGATGAACTGACGACAGAACTTCAACAAATCTCGAATGAAGAACACAAAGAAACACAGTGAAATGTGTCTCCTTCTGAACAAGAGGAAGACAAAAGAGGACCAATGCCGACATCTGCCATTAGTGATCTTTTCAAGAAGTGGCAGGATGTCAGAGCAATGGCCTTAGAATGGCACCCAAACAAAGTTGATGTCAGTAGGTTTGGGGATTTACAACGACAATGCTATTAATCACTTTCGGAAAATCCTGAAAAGAGGTAAAAGCAATCGACATTGGACACGTTCCTTAATGCCCCATGACAAAAAATGAAAAGGCCAGATTAATTTGCAAGACTATATGTACGTATTATTTTTTTAATAAACTTACTAAAAAATTATACATTCTTTTTTTTAAATTTAATTTTTGAATCTCCAGAGCGAATTAATCTATCTCATGATATATATATATATATAGTATATATACACTCACTTCCAAAAGTTAAGCACGGAGAGGAAAATGCTAATTTCCAGAAGCCAATCATAATTGAAGAGGATACAATTCTCTGCAGAGGTAGGTAGGTAGGTAGGTGACGGAAGACGGGGACGCTTGGTGGCTACCAGAGATAAACAGGCATGTATCCCTTGCCTTCCACTATCTAATGGCAACAACTCCCTGTGGCCTCAAGAGTCCACACCGGGAGCTTATTAAGGGTGCAGGAGTTTACATGGCCAAACAGGGGCGACTTATTAACATTGCTTGACTAATTACATAATTACAGGTATGAGACTTGTGAGACGGATTTACAGGTGAGGGGCTCAGAGTTAGGTACTAAATGTATGAAAACACAAAAACATGAAAATGTACAGAAAACACACACGCAGAGGGAAAAAAAGGGGGGAGAGTGATACACTTGATTAACACTGAAGACTTATGACAGATAAAACACACTTAAAAAATAGTAATACACATATACCACATGTCAGATACATATTTGGCTTCATTGATCACATATACTGTACATTGTGGGGTATGTTTACAGTCGAGGGGCCATAAGATGGGAATAACATGTGATTGCTGGACATTGATATGGGGGACACATAGAGATACGGCGAATATATATTTGTGGAGCGCATAGGTTGCTGAGTATATGAGCATGCCGAGCGCGGTGACATGTTAGCAGCACAGGGTGATGTTCATGTTGACTTCTGTTAGTGGCGGACGTTGTGGGATTATGCAGCGTCACATATATCTTGGCCCATAGCGGCGAGCTGGTCAATGACCTTACAGATTTTATTGATTGCAGGTTTGTTTTTAATAATGAACCGTTGAAAGGCGTCTGTAGGAGGAGTGGGATGCTTAATGTGGTTGTCTGCTGTGAGTGGGCAAGAGTAGATATAGTGGTCTGGTGATCCAAGTTGGCCGCACACGCAAGCATCTGTAGTGGAGATGTTGTGCCTATAATAATACGCTGGATAGGGGCCATGTCCCGTTATGAACCGGGTGAGTTGGGGTATAGCTATGAGGCGTGATAGAGAGACTTTGGGTAGGAGATTGTAGGTCCGTCGTCCGGTGTCACACGCGTTCCATTCCTCTTGC